ACATTATTTGTTCTTTAAATTTATATAAATAAAAATTTGTTAAAAAGTTAAGGCTTACGCCTCATTGCACAATAAGGCTTACGTCATAGGCAATGCTAAGACGCCGCCTCAAACACACAATGCACAATTTCGAACCTTGGCGTAGTCCAATGACTTGATCACTTCATATGGTTCAGTGACTACTCCACCATTCAGTGACTACCCCGCCATTCAGTGACTACTCCGCCAACCAGTGACTAGCTCCACCACCGTATCAAGCATAGTGACCTGCTAAATGATACCGCCAAAAGCGTAGTTCAGTGACCCGCTCACTGAGACAGTGACTACCACAACCTCAATCAGTGACTTCCAAGGCACCAACCACGCCTTCTTACATGTCCTAATCACTATCCCACCCACCGCCCAAGCCTCAACCTGCTCATTGACCACCGCCTCCTTGGCAGTTAAGTGACTGCTGTCGACGGTGCTAACACTGCCCCACCCTAGAACCGCCACGATCCACACCACAACACAGCCAAACAACTTCATCGCCCAACCAAAAAATCACAGCGCCCATCCAAAAAACCAATGTCAAAACCTACAACAAAAAAATCAGAAATCGTAGTTGTCAACCAAAAATATTGATGACGATGAACGATCCAGGGCTCCTAATTTGGATCTAGCGGCGGCGGCGACATTTTTGAAAAATAAGAAAGGAGAAGAAGAAGAGTAGAGTTGTGCTGGCGGCGGTGGGCAGGTGAAGCAGCAACTGCGATGACAATCATCGATACACAGGTGGAGACAGGGGAATAGTGAAGCCAACCGACGATTTTGTTATGCGAAGCTTGACTGCAATACTTGACGGCGGTGCAGCTAGATGACGACGAAGCTAGGCGGTGGTGCACTTGGAGGCTTATGGCATTGGGGATCGGAGAAAGTGGAGATGAATAGGAGACGCAAGGCATTAGGCGGTTGATATATGTTACAGGAGGCATTATACACACTAAAGTTAAGATTAGGAGCAGCCCATTTAATCCTCATTTAATCACTTTTTAGTCCAAATTAAAATCTAGTCGTATATTTGTCTAATAAAACTCTAGGAGTAGTATTCTAGTCATTATTTCTATTTTAATTGTCTATCCATTTAATAGTGTTTTTCCCCTTCCTTATTTTCAAAATGTTTGAGTTTATAATTGATATACTCCCTCCGTAACTGATGGATCGCCGACCCTAGGTGTAGCCAAAATCCAGGGAGTAAGAGAGTAAACGGGGGAAAGCGCTAAGTAAGAACGAATGTAAATTTCAGCAGCGTAACAACAAGTGTGCACAGAGAATTTTGGATCTCTTTCCACAAGTTGGAAGGTGATATTTATACGAAGGGAGAGAAATACTTGGCCAACAAGTAAAAAGATGTCAGTCTATTGTGGTGGAGACACATGTCACACCCGTCTAACAGAATGAACAAACTAGTCTAATGATGGGTGACACGTGTAAAGGTGATTGGAGAGATAATTATCACAGTTGGATGATTGGTACTGTACGCAACATATTTGTACCAGTGACACATGTGGGTTACACATGTGTTATCCAGAATATTCTTTATCTTATCTGCTGGAGTGATGTGGCGCTTCATATAGTGTTGGTGACGTGGCGGTAGCTTCGCATAGTACTTGGATTGGTGAAATGCCTAATCCATGTCTAAAAAATAGAATCTCGTGCTTCGAGGGGCCGGAGCTCGGGTATAGCGTATTTGGAAGCTTTCCCGATCTTCGGGTTATCCAGTTATGGTCATTCCTTCATCCTTGTCTGACTCTCGTTGACTTCCGTTGACTCAACGCATGCGTCCAAGGTTAGACCCGATACTAACCTAAGTGTGTTTGAGGTCGGCCTCATATTTTGTCATATCTGGGTGATCTACGAGCTCGATGTTCGTGCCGACCTCGGTGGGTCGAGGACGATCTCAATCGGGGTTTTCATACTTTGCTGATTCGTCGTCTTGTGTCTGGTTCTGACCTCATGCATCGAGGTCAGCCTCGGTTGAGGCTTCGTACTTAAGTGTTTGATGCATAGTTGGAAGTCTTTGCCCACCAATCGTGATACCCCTGAGGTATATAGAATATACTTTACCAGTAACATTCACATCTTCCCACTTTCCATCTTCATCCTTAACATTTATATCTTCCCCATTTCTAAATCTTCCAATCATTCTTTCAATAATTTTGAAAATAACACATTATTGCAACTATTTTTTAGATTTATCCTTCATTCCAACACACTATTTCATTATATTCCCATTATACCCTCAATAATTTATATTCTCTTTCACTATTTTTAATCTCACCTACTTTTAAACAGGAAGATATATATGTTAAACAGGGCTCCTAATTTGGATCTAGCGGCGGCGGCGACATTTTTGAAAAATAAGAAAGGAGAAGAAGAAGAGTAGAGTTGTGCTGGCGACGGTGGGCAGGTGAAGCAGCAACTGCGATGACAATCATCGATACACAGGTGGAGACAGGGGAATAGTGAAGCCAACCGACGATTTTGTTATGCGAAGCTTGACTGCAATACTTGATGGCGGTGCAGCTAGATGACGACGAAGCTAGGCGGTGGTGCACTTGGAGGCTTATGGCATTGGGGATCGGAGAAAGTGGAGATGAATAGGAGACACAAGGCATTAGGCGGTTGATATATGTTACACGAGGCATTATACACACTAAAGTTAAGATTAGGAGCAGCCCGTTTAATCCTCATTTAATCACTTTTTAGTCCAAATTAAAATCTAGTCGTATATTTGTCTAATAAAACTCTAGGAGTAGTATTCTAGTCATTATTTCTATTTTAATTGTCTATCCATTTAATAGTGTTTTTCTCCTTCCTTATTTTCAAAATGTTTGAGTTTATAATTGATATACTCCCTCCGTAACTGATGGATCGCCGACCCTAGGTGTAGCCAAAATCCAGGGAGTAAGAGAGTAAACGGGGGAAAGCGCTAAGTAAGAACGAATGTAAATTTCAGCAGCGTAACAACAAGTGTGCACAGAGAATTTTGGATCTCTTTCCACAAGTTGGAAGGTGATATTTATACGAAGGGAGAAAAATACTTGGCCAACAAGTAAAAAGATGGCAGTCTATTGTGGTGGAGACACATGTCACACCCGTCTATCAGAATGAACAAACTAGTCTAATGATGGGCGACACGTGTAAAGGTGATTGGAGAGATAATTATCACAGTTGGATGATTGGTACTGTACGCAACATATTTGTACCAGTGACACATGTGGGTTACACATGTGTTATCCAAAATATTCTTTATCTTATCTGCTGGAGTGATGTGGCGCTTCATATAGTGTTGGTGACGTGGCGGTAGCTTCGCATAGTACTTGGATTGGTGAAATGCCTAATCCATGTCTTAAAAATAGAATCCCGTGCTTCGAGGGGCCGGAGCTCGGGTATAGCGTATTTGGAAGCTTTCCCGGTCTTCGGGTTATCCAGTTATGGTCATTCCTTCATCCTTGTCTGACTCTCGTTGACTTCCGTTGACTCAACGCATGCGTCCAAGGTTAGACCCGATACTAACCTAAGTGTGTTTGAGGTCGGCCTCATATTTTGTCATATCTGGGTGATCTACGAGCTCGATGTTCGTGCCGACCTCGGTGGGTCGAGGACGATCTCAATCGGGGTTTTCATACTTTGCTTATTCGTCGTCTTGTGTCTGGTTCTGACCTCATGCATCGAGGTCAGCCTCGGTTGAGGCTTCGTACTTAAGTGTTTGATGCATAGTTGGAAGTCTTTGCCCACCAATCGTGATACCCCTGAGGTATATAGAATATACTTTACCAGTAACATTCACATCTTCCCACTTTCCATCTTCATCCTTAACATTTATATCTTCCCCATTTCTAAATCTTCCAATCATTCTTTCAATAATTTTGAAAATAACACATTATTGCAACTATTTTTTAGATTTATCATTCATTCCAACACACTATTTCATTATATTCCCATTATACCCTCAATAATTTATATTCTCTTTCACTATTTTTAATCTCACCTACTTTTAAACAGGAAGATATATATGTTACAGAGGTAGTATCAGATTACAACAAATGCACTTTTATATGCAAAATTATTATATTACCTGTACGATTCGACATATATTCCTAAAGACGGAATATAATTTTTCCTGTGCGCATGAGTACCATACTAGTACTCTTTTCGTCTCTTAAATTTTTGTCAGTTTTCCTTTTTTTGTTTATCCCACTAAATTTGTCACTTTCCCTTTAAAGTAGACAATTCGTCGTTCGAACTAATTCTCTTTACTTTGTATAAATCTTAATCATACAATTTTTACTTTATTAATTTCCATGCCTCACCAATTTTTTACCATTTTAATATTACGAACTTAAATCTATGTTTAAAAAAGTGACCCGACCCGGCCGGGTCGACCCATATTCCGGCCACCCGGACCGAAACCCGATCGGTTAATTAAAAAGCCGAAAGTGGTCAAAACCCGGAAAAATCCGGCCGACCCTGCAAAAACCAGTCCAAACTCGGATCCAAAAAACCGATAAACCCGGAAAAACCCGGTTATGGTTGTTTTTCCATTTTTTTTATTTTATTAAAGAATTTATAACCAATAAAATTGCAATTTTTCAATACCCTAAAAAGAAAAAATATGCAATATATTTTATACTACTTACTTGTTTAAAAATAAAAATCATGTCAAATTATAGAATATAATAAATGTCCAACAAAAATAACAAATATGGAGTATCATTAAACTCCGTATATTTTAATAAGATCAAAATGATATTTTAGATATTATGAGACTTTTTTAATTGTTAAGTGTTTTGGAAGTATTATTATTAGTTGATTATTATGAAATAACTCCCTCTTGTTTTAACTAACTCGGTTTTATAGCATTGACCGAGTTGACTCGTGACCCGTGAGCCGTCAGACCCGGTCGCGCTACCGGCTTCTCGGCGGTTTCTTAAACATAGACTTAAATAAAACAGCATGAGACAGCAATAGATTAGATTCCTTTAGCATGTAAAACCCTAAACCCAAACTTGTTGTGGTAGATGAAGCAAGTGGCTAACTGCTATAAAGCCCCAAGCATTGGTGCTGTGGATTGGAGCGGAAATGGCCGGTGCATTGCTCCGTTCTCTCTGGTCATCTTCTAGAAGATCTTTTCCTCCCACAGCCTTCTCTGATCCCAACCTACACAACTATGCACGGGTTACTAGATCTGCACGCGCCTTCTCAGCCGCCACAGCTACAGCGCCTGCAGCTACCCCTGGTGGTGCGCTGGATCCTGCCTTGCTGAGGAACGTCGCCGTCATAGCTCATGTCGATCACGGAAAGACCACTCTCATGGACCGGCTCCTCCGCCAGTGCGGCGCTGACATCCCACACGAGCGTGCTCTTGATTCTATCAGCCTCGAGCGCGAGCGTGGTATCACAATTGCTTCCAAGGTCCGCATCTTACTTTTAAAGATGGAAACTTTTTATTGCTCTTCACAATCTGGCGTTAATAAAACTTCGGGAGATGAAGTAAAATCTCATCTAAGAATCAATATTTCAGATGGTGAGACAATAATGATTAGGTGATAGTTACAAAATATTACGCAGTATAATACAAGATAAGAAGAAATGCAATGGGACTAGTCTAAGCTTATACTTTAACTACTAGGAGAATAGCGAAGTCGATATTCTACCAATGAAGTTGAGTTAAATAATAATTATTAGCAGTCACTAAATAATACAAGTATGATTTTATAAATGAAAAGAACTCTTTTCCTGGAAAATAAGAGAGACCAGGCGAAGTTTCTTTTGGCTTTGTTTGCACCACATATATCGCCTACAACAACAACAACATCCAAGCCTTGGTCCTAAAAGATATTGAGGTTGGCTAACATGAATCGATATATGATATCACAACCAAAAGGAAAAGAGAGAAAATAAAGATAAAAAGATAAGCTATTATAAAATGATAATATAAAAAGAGATGAATATACATAAAAATGATAAAATAAAAAGGCTACAAATAATCCTTATATATATAAGGATAAGAAACAAGGAAAAAAAAGACGAGGGAAAAAGATTATACGAGAATGCAGTAATGCAGGCCTAATTGCTGTCATATAAAATTTACCGCCCAACTCTCTACGCCATACAGTAATGCCACACAGCATGCGCATCTCTGTCACACTCATCTTTTGAATGTAACATTGTTTCACCGCCCAACACTCTACGACATACAGTAATGCAGGCCTAATTGGTGTCCTATAAAATTTACCCTTCAGTCTAGTCGGCATACCTCAGTCGCGTAGAAATCCTGACGCACTCTTCCACTTCATCCACCCTGTTCTGATTCTATGGGGTACATCTCCATCTAACTCACCGTCCTTCTGAATTATGGAGCCTAAGTAACGGAACATATAGCTGACCGGTATCTCCTTACCATCCAGAGTAATCCCGCTATTACCACTTCTTCTAGCTCCACCAAACTTGCACTCCATGTACTCTGTCTTGCTCCGACTTAGTTTGAAACCCTTATTCTCCGATGCTTGTCGCCATACTTCCAACTTTGTTTTAAGACCTGATTGCGTCTCATCAATCAATACAATATCGTCGGCAAACATCATGCACCACGGTATATCGTCTTGAATTGACTTCGTAAGTTCATCCATGACTGGCAAATAAGAAAGGGCTCAAGGTCGATCCTTGATGCACTCCGATAGTAATAGGGAACTCTTCAGTCCTCCCTACACTAGTACGGACACTTGTAGTACAATCCTCATACATATCCAAGTTAATTGAGAATTCTGCTCTCCTTAAACACCCCCCCCTCTTTTGTTTTATAAGGAGTCCTTTGACGTATTTCTCCAATACTATAGAGTTTTCACTCACCTTGTTCTTTTTTTTTACAGAAATTGTCCTAAATAGGAGTAAAAACACTTTGAATTTCCAAAATAGGAGTATCATGTTTTTCATTCCTTGAATAGGAGTTATCTGCCAAGTTTAGAAAAAATGCCATGTTTAAAGCCTAGTAATGTCAAACTTGGAAGAAATTTACTCCTATTCAGGAAATAAAAAACATGATACTCCTATTTTGGAATTTTAAAGCATTTTTACTCCTATTTAGAGAATTCTCTCTCTTTTTGTTTTATTTCTTAATGCTGTTTTTTTAAACTAAGAAACTTATTCCAAAAGACTGGCACAATCTGTTTCTGTTTTTGATTCCACTGGCAATGATGAGAAAAGGCCGGTCATACGGCTGCCGCCTGTGCTTGGTAGTAGTGTGATGATCTGTTTTAGGAGGTATACCTTCTGAGCTAGTGGTGTAGTGTACTACTGTACACTATAAAAATATTGCAAAATATGGAGTAATAATTTTCTTTTTCCTTGAGCAAAACTAGTATCTCACTGTGCCATGCACTGATTCTATTCAGTAGTTAGTACACAATTTAATATAGCATAATGAATTAACATAGCATGTGATGCACAATGTCTAATTCTTAAATGTTTGAATGTATGATAAGAGATATGCTTAAATAGTCAAATATGTTTATAGCTTCTACAATATACTCATTTTATGTATTTGGCTCCTATTTTTAATGTTTTTTTCCCTTCAATATTTTACCCTTTTAGCTGAATAATTCTTTTTTTTTGCCGATCCCAAATTCTTTTGGGATTAAGGCTTGGATGTTGTTGTTGTAGCTGAATAATTATTTTTTTTCAAAATAGTCAGTGTAACAGGTTTGCAACTCTAGCAACACACCCCACATTAATAGCCCATAAACCACTTATCATCCACATCAGTAGAGAGTATGAATTAGGAATTGGTATATTATAGGTATCAAACAAAACTTATGTGTATCAATAGCAACAAAATCCAAATCTGAGTATATTAGACGCGCCAAAACAGTGACTATGTTTATTTATAGGCACTGCTTCATAAAACTCCACGTGGTAAAACCGACGTCAACAACAGTCAACAATCCAGAGCTTCATTCAACGTTCAATGAAGTGATTTACCCACGTTGACCTTCAACTTTTCATCATACACAACATACCATTTTCCACATAAGTCAACCAAACACTGTGATCAAAACCCACAAACTTTATAAATAGGTCCGTCGCTGTATCGTGAGCCATAAAAAGTTATCTCATGTTAACATGGGCTTATAGTCTGTTTTTGGCCAAGGCGAAAAACATAGTCCACGTTGATTTGGATTATTAACAGTTTGGTGGAATTGGCTGTAGGATTTGTAGCTTTCACTCTTATCGTGGTTGATCAATTTTGACCTATATGAAATTTGATGTGCTTCTATTGTGAATTTGCCAAATCTTGATGTAGGTTGATAGAGGTTAGGTTTTTTGGTTTGTTATTCGTAGTGAGAAACTGGTGATATTTTTCAGTTTATGTTATGGCCCCTCTAAATGTACTTAGTTTATGTTTGGTCCATAAATATGTGTAGCTTTGTTTTGTCCCTCTAATGGACCAAATTTATATAAACCAGCCTAATTTTCGCACCTCTACTGTCCCAACCTCTATTTTCGTACCTCTTTTGACATGGCATATATGCGCTTATGTGGCACATGCTGCTGAGTGCTAAACTGCTGACATGGCATGCCAAAAGGTTGGTTACACAAAAACTTGTTACAATTTATAGTTTTTTAGAGAGGGAGACTTTGATATTTTTATATACATTATTAAACGATATTTCCAGGATCCAACGAAAAAATACTACATATTTCATACAGGATATTCATACTAATGTGAGTATTTTATAACGACAACAAGCTCATTTTAGCCTAAAGTGTATGTGAAATTGTGAATTACCCAATAAGAAAAAGCCACAATATGCATTCATAACAAACAAATTATAACAAACCAAATTATACATATAATAGAGAGCAGAATGTAAATAAAAAAGCAATATGGCTTCAATAATCTAGAATGTGATTTAGGAGGTATTTCTTCTGAGCCTGTGGTGTAGCCTACTGTATGTAGAAATTTACATAATACGTTTTTTGTTTCTTTAAGTAATACTGCTTCAACTGTTCCCTCAAGTGCCAGCACCTTCCATTCATCCTGCTTCTCTTCACTCTCAGCTTGGCTCTATGCTTGCTTATTGCTTCCTTAATTTCTAAATTTATTCCAAAAGACTGAACACATCTGCTTGTTTCCACTGGCAATGATGACAAAAGGCCGGTCATACGGCTGCTGCAATGTGCTAGGCAGTAGGGTGATGATATGTTTTACGAGGTGTATCTTCTGAGCCAGTGGTATTTGTACTGTATAAAAAATTACATTTTGATAATATCTGTCTTCTAATGTAAGATTACTCCACGTGGAGCTGTGGAAGCACATCCCATTCTGTACTGCTTTTCTTCCGCACTAAGTTTGTTTCCATGTTATTGGTTTCTTTATCTCTGCACCTGATTTCAAAGACTGGAATTTTCTGTCTTTTCACACTGGCAATGATGACAAAAGGCCGGTCATACGGCTGCTGCCATGTGCTCGGTAGTAGTATGATGATGTGTTCTAGGAGGTATACCTTCTGAGCCAGTGGTAACAGTGTCCTGTCTGTAGAAATCTTACATTGTGATGTTTTTTTTGTCTTTTTTTCTTTCAGTTTTAAGTAAAACAACTCCATAGACTTGCTAATGAGTGCATTCATGATGTGTAGCTGACCATATACTGGAAGAGTCATGAATTCTAGGTGTCTGTGTGTGTAGGCACACCTATATCATTTGATATGTTTTTTTGCTTGCAGGTTACATCTCTATCATGGAAAAAAAATGAGCTGAACATGGTTGACACTCCTGGACATGCAGACTTTGGTGGTGAAGTATGCACCTGTCTACCATTGGAAAATTCTATGTGCCACAAGTTTTCTTGCTTGTTTAGGGAATTAATTTAAAGTTCAATATCCCGTACATGCATGTTCTATTGAAGTTTTGTGGACTGACGTGAAGTAAACCATAGTTTCCTTTAAAATTTCCTTGGCATAGGTTGAGCGTGTAGTTGGCATGGTTGAGGGAGCAATCCTAGTTGTTGATGCAGGTGAAGGACCACTTGCACAGACAAAATTTGTTCTTGCCAAGGCCTTGAAGTATGGTTTACGTCCTATTCTTCTTCTAAACAAAGTAGACAAGCCTGCAGGTATCTATGGTCCTATTCTTCATCTACCGTCTCTTTAGGTGCTAATAGTTCACAATTTGACATGGACCTTGCAAATTTGTCGGGTGGTTCTTGTTACTTTTTACAGACAACCAGTCAACCATGTAGCAACCAATTTAACATTGTATACTATACTTCAAACACATTAAAAATGCTCATTTGTTTTCATCTGAACAATGATTTCTTGTGTAAAGTGATGATGGATTGAACCTAGAAAAGTAAGGCTGGAGAGCGGTGATACACCATTAAAACAATATAAAACTGATTCAGATCCAAGCAATGTGAGGCTGATCTGGCTACATTAATAGCTCAGGCCAAACAAATAAATCTCTGATATGCTGAATTTCAGATTTTGATTGCCGCTTTCAGTCTAAATTTCCATTGATAAAATACTACTCCCTCACTCCCAATTTGTAAGATACATTTCCTATTCACTTGGTCAACATAAATAACTCTTCATCTTTTACTTTATATATCATTTTTTTTTGAAATTTGAATTATTTTTTGCAGGCTTTGTAGCAGTTTTAATGTAGTTTCTGAATATGTGAGTTTTATTTTTTAAAACTAATTTGAGTGTTGACAGGGATCAATTTGCTTTATCGTCGGTCCAACATCGTAAACCGTAAAGTATCTTACAAATTGGGACGGAGGGAGTAATATTTAATATTGTTTACTTGAACACTTGCACTTAAAAACAACAAATGGAATATTTCTATTTTAATGTGTAATAAGACTGAATTCAACATCACACTAATGTTAAATGCTCAGAAAACATGATCATTATTAGCATCTTCAGTTTTTCTTTGATTTGTGTCCAATGCACAAGATTTTAGTGATTTTGAATTAATTTCCTGCAGTTAGTGAAGAGCGATGCAATGAAGTTGAGATTCTTGTCTTTGACCTTTTTGCGAATCTGGGAGCTTCAGGTTATATGACATGATATTTGTGCTCTTATGTCATCGAATTTAATCCTTATCTGGTAAAAGCATTTTATTTATGTAGACCAAGCAATAGAGGCATAGCCGCGTATAGTTGCGATGGACATCTGATATCAGTGGTTGTTTTCTTCACTGTTACCCTCCTTTATTTTCAGAGGAACAATTAGATTTTCCTGTTCTTTATGCCTCTGCAAAGGAAGGATGGGCTTCATCGGCTTATACAAAGAGTCCACCAAACAATGCCAAAGACATGTCCGAGTTGCTCGATACAATTGTACGCCATGTTCCTCCACCAACTGCCAATCTGGATGCACCTTTTCAGATGTTGGTTGGTACCCAGATAGTCAATGCTCTAGATCGATACTTGCAAAAAACATTATGTCCGCATTATGCCCTTGTTTGCAGTAATGTAGAAACATGTGCATTAGTTCATTTACTATGTTAATTACTGCCTGTTAGGTGTTCATTTCTTTTGGAGTACAATTATGCTTGCTTATAGGACTAAATCGCTCACTGATGTGTTGAAGTGTCCTTTTAACCAGATTGTGTCAGTCAAAAACTTGTAAAGTTTCCGACTCAGAGTGTAGTTATGTGTCTTCAGTCTACATTGGCACTGTTTGGGGTAGGTGTGAGAGATTCATGTTGGTTTGTAGTTACATGAGATCCTTAGTTGCAACCAACTTTTGAAGTGGTACATTGTGATTATTCTCTATTGGGAGTTTGTTGAAATAGCTAAAGTGTATCATGATTATATTATCAAAATAGAGATAAATTTTTGTATGCTTGGCATACTCCCATACACAATCATTTGATATAACCAACATCATTCCCCAGCCCTCAAAACAAATTTGAGTATCCTCATTTTTTTAAATAGTGGTACTTTTGTTACGTGTTACTTCCCAATGTTGTCTTTCTCTGTTTAGCTAATTTGTGAAAACCACGCGTAATACTTCATTACCTCAGGTTTCCATGATGGAGAAAGATCCCTATGTTGGGCGAACGTTAACTGGACGTGTATCTTCTGGAGTTGTTCGCGTTGGGGATAAAGTACATGGGATTCGGAATACAGACTCAGGAATTGTCAAGATTGAAGAAGGAAAAGTTGTTACTCTCAAATTTTATTTATGACTACAGTCTTTCAAAGTTAATATTCATACTGAGTCCATTTTCACTATCTGAAGGAATTCTCATGGCACTATGTCCCTTGTCACTATAGAAGAGTCTAGACAGCTCCAGAGAACCGTTACATAAGCTACACAATAAATTAGAAATATTTGTATTTAATATTATAATTAGTAGCCTACCTTATTAGTCTCTAGACTGTTGTATAAATAGGATATCATTTTCTGGAATGAATCAAGCCTTTCAGTCTCAATCTATTCCTACTCTAAAATCTAATAGTCACTAGGGTGTGGTAGTTATTCTGTGAAAACATCTTTAACACAAATGTCTATGCTAGTTAGGGTGAAAACCTAAAACCACATTGCTAATAACTCTAAATGTCATGCAGGTTGTAGTGGGATTGGGGCCAGTGTTCTGAAATTTAGTGTTCAATAATTGTCATAAAACTATTTCACACACACAGTAAGATCATGCATTAAAACAGTGGAGCGTTGAAAGAATATAACAAGGCAGGGGGGGATCCAATGCATTTCATTCTAACTGATAATTTGCTTTGGTACATCCTAGGTCACAAAGTTGATAAAGAAGAGGGGCATGAGTGCAGTTTCAGTTGATTGTGCTGGTGCTGGTGACATAATTTCAATGGCTGGGTTGACCACTCCAGCAATTGGCCATACTGTTGCTAATGTTGAGGTGCTTAATCATTTTATTCTAGTAGTACTGTGGTACTGTGCTGGAGTTGTTCTTGATTATCAAATTATTGTACGTAGTATTATATACCCAAGAAAAGACCCCTTGAGATGCGTATGTTGCGTTGGATGTGTGGACATACCAGAAAAGACCAATTGATGAATGAGATAATCAGACAAAAGGTGGGAGTAACACCTATAGAAGATAAGATGTAGGAGTCTCGTTTGCGGTGGTTTTGGCGTGTGCATAGAAGACTGAGTGATGCACTTGTTAGATGACTTGAGGGGTGGGGAGAAGAGACAGAGAAGAAAGGGAGGGGAAGACCCAAATAGACTTGAATTAGAGGAATCAGAATTGATATGCATCTTCATGGGTTGGATGAGAGTATGGCTTTGGAGAGAGCAAAGTGGAGGGCGCACATCCGTGTGGACGATTGATGTCTTTTCTACCTTTCCTCTATTTTTTCTTTTATCGTTTATCTTCTTTATCTTTTTATATTCTTATGTTATTTTTATCTTCTAGCTTTTTTATGCTCTTTTAATTTTTTTCTTTTATCTTTCTTATATTCTTGTGTTATTGTTATCTTATACTACCTCCGTCCCAAATTGATTTGCAAATTTGACTTTTCTAGGTCAAACAGTTTCATTTTATTTGCTTAATTAGGATGTCAATTTTTAATTATATTCTAATTTTGAATTTACAACTTTGAAGAGATTTTAATGTAATTTCTCAATATGTAATTTTTAATTATTAAAAATTGAGTTAATTATCGATAGCGAGGATTGACTTTTATTATTGGTTGACCGTAAAATGTTGACTTTGCAAAACAATTTGGAACGGAGGGAGTATTTATTTATCTTTATTTTATTCGTTTTATCTTACTTTTTTTCTTCCCTTTCTTGTCCGTCTTCTCTGTTTGGCATCGATATCATAGATCGATTCAAGCTAGCCGACCCCAAATTCTTTTGGGATTAATGCTTGGATGTTGTTGTTGTTGTTGTTGTTGTAGTATTATATACCCGAGGCTCTAAGCACAAATTATATGAGTATAATAAGATACATTATACATGCATATCTTATAGTTATGAAAGTTTACTACGTCTCTTAGCTGAAATACATACTATGAAAGTTTGATACACATGTTACCTAATACATGTATATCTTATAATTATGAAAGTTTTGGATCCTGCTTTTACCCCTTCAAATATAGCTTTTAGATTGACATCTCATTAAATCTTATAGGTTTCGACAGCTCTGCCCACTGTTGATCTTGACCCCCCTACAATTTCTATGACTTTTGGTGTTAATGATTCTCCGTTGGCTGGACGTGATGGAATCCATGTAAGTAATTACTATCCCCCGTTCCGTTTTAATCGCAACATGTTGAATTTTACACTATTCACATGTTCTACTTTGACTACATTTTACGCTATTATTTTATGAAAATTATTTTTTTAAAAAAATATTGTTCAATTCATCTCATTACAAATTTTCAAAATCTGTTTTTTAATATTTTTTTACTAATAGAATTAAGATATGATTACGGTCAAAGACATGCGTTGGCAAATGTGAATTGTTGACCGTTGCAACTAAAAAAGAACGGAGGGAGTATAATTTTTTCAGCACACTGACTAAATTCTATCTAGCGTCACACCACGTGTGAATTCAAATTGTACAATTTTGGTAGTAAGTGAAGCTCCCACTTTTTCCAGAGGTTCAAGGGCTTCACTCCCACCTTGGTGTGTGTGAGGAGAGGGGGGCAAAGGAGTCATCATTTTTTATGCCTGATCATTTATTTTCTTGCAGTTGACTGGAGGTAAAATTGGTGACAGGCTAATGGCTGAAGCAGAAACCAATCTTGCTATAAATGTTCTTCCCAGTACGTCAGAGTCATATGAAGTACAGGGGAGGGGTGAACTTCAATTAGGTGAGTAATTATTTATCATCTTTTAACTTCTTATAGAATATCAGTATACTTTTATCTTCGCTGGTCTCATGAATTTTCCTCTTCAGCTGTGTTAATTTTTTCCCCTGGTTTAATTAAGGAATCTTAATTGAAAACATGAGGCGAGAAGGATTTGAGCTGTCTATCTCTCCACCCAAAGTCATGTGAGTTCTTTTCTGAGTTGCTATTCTTGGTGGAGTGATCGTATATCCTTTCATTCAGGCACTCATCTGCATAATGAATTTATTAGTGTAGAACAATTATACATTGAAAAAGAGAGTGCTAATATGCCATGTTATCATTGGCACTCAATTATATTAAAAAAATAACAACACACTGTATAACTTGCCATATTATATTACAGAGCTGTAAATGGTTCAGTATCGCTTAATCCTTTACAAGCGTGCTTTTCTCCTCCATGACACGTTTTTATTTGGAGTTTCTCTAAAAATTCCTTCATTGGACAGGTACAAGTTTGAGAAATCTCAAAAGCTTGAACCTATTGAAGAAGTGACTATTGAGGTCTGTAATGGTCTCTAAGAACTCATTCTTTGGCTTAATTTCGTAGTATTTAGTACTAGTATTAAGGTATCAATTTGTTGATTATATTACCAAGGTTGATGAGGCACATGTGGGTCTAGTCATGGAGGCACTCAATCACAGGCGAGCTGAAGTAACAGACATGGGTCCTGTCCCTGGCAATGTTGGCAGGACAAGAATGTGTTTGACTTGTCCTTCAAGGTATGCTCTGTTTTCTTGTTGTTCTTTTTTGTATGTAAATTTCATTTCCTTTTGGCTGAATCATTCTCTTATATTTGACCTTTTCCACTATACCTTTGATCTGGAAGTTATTTGCCCAACTAAATCTGCTTTGTCATTGGGCATGCGTTTATTAATTTTCCATGTGCTCCCATCTTTGATGCTAACTTTAAAATATAGGAAGTACAAAAAAGTATGTAAAGAACATACTCATTCACTTTTTAATAAAATAGGCAAATGCCAACCTCAACTGTTAGTGTGGTTTTTAAGATTAGCAAAAGTCAAATGGTTTTTTATTGGGATGCAAAACAAATGCATTGAGATATGTGAATATCGAGACATAAATACAGTTTTGATATTTGATACAGACCTCAGCTTATGGCGAGGGAATTAATAGAAATAATATTGAATATTTTAATAAGCTGTAATAAGGAAGTGGGCTGGGCCCCAATAATTAGTTATTTTGAGAAGCCTCTTTAGTAATAGAATAAATAGTAGGAATTAGAAAAGGGAGAGGCAGGTTGGGATTTGGGAAAACATGGGAACTGGGAGAATGAGGCCTCTCGAACTTAGTTTTAAAAGGCACGAGGCGGCTTGAGGCGATTTCATTGATTTTACCTGAGGCGCGAGGCGCTAGGCTGTGAGGCGCGCGGCTCACGGATCTCATCCACATCTCTTTGGTGAAATATATTTTTAGTACTTCTACATGAAGCACTCTTCTAAAAAATACTTAAACTATTAAACATCGTAAGAGACAAAATATTTATTAAAGACAATAAGACAGGAGCAAGAAATATATGTTTAAAGGCATAATTGCCAAAAACTCAATCTTAAAACTTCAAAACATAATTAAAAAGCAAAGTAGCAAACTCGCAAGCAAAATTGTGAAATCTAGGCCTAGAATTCATCACTGTAATCATCCTCATTATCGAGAGTAGCAAGCTCATATTATCAGTGTTCTGATATTATCATTGTTATGTAATAAACTATGATAGTCTAACACTACAATATATATTATATAGTATTATGATATTATCATTGTTATGTAATAAACTATAAAATAATACATATTTAATTAATAAACTATCACACAAATACAATTCTGTAAAATTAATTACAGACAGATTTGTAAATTTAAATAATTTAAATAATTTTATAAATTTAAATAATTTAAACAATTTTATAAATTTAAAAACTTAAGATACTTAAAAATTATCAAACTTAAAAGACTTAACTTTTTTTCCAGTTATCTATCAAAACTTATAAATAGCGAAAGATAATACTACGCATGTATCAGTCATCTAACTTTTTATTTAAATAATTTTAATATTTTTATAAATATAACAACTTAAAATAAAAGAGAATAAATAGCAGAAGACAAAAAGTAAACAGACTTACCTTTGCGACGCGAGATAGCAGCGAAAGAAAAGTCGGAAGACTCAAACAGCTACGCAAGATACATCGGGACTAACCAAACGCAGAAGGCAGAAAGGAAGGAGAAGACTAGAGAGACTTGGAGTCTTGGAGTTTGATGGAGTGAGGAGTGAGGAGTGAGGACCTTACCTTATCAATTTATAAGACCTCCTACGAAATTTCTGGAAGGAGCATCTAAATTGCCAAAAAAATTGGAATGGGAATCGCCAAAGTAATTCCATCGGACACTTCCATGAGGCGTGAAAAGCGCTCGCCTCTCAGAAGCGCAAAAGGCGCCAAACAACGTGAAAAGCGCTCGCCTCTCAGAACCTGCGCCGCCTGGGTATGTAAAATGTGATGAACCTAGCGCCTATATGCGCCTCGCGCCTTTTTTAAACTAAGCTCTCGAAGAGTCTCAATTGTATTTTCCGTTTCAAACTTTCATATCAATCTCCGTTTGTTTTTTCCATTTCCAAATTGGTTCCTATAAATATTGCTTTCAAAACAAAATGAAACCATGGCTGAATGTTCCAATTTTTTATCAGAAAATATACTATCTTTCTCATTCAAATCTTAAATATTTGTAATATACAATAACTATTTGTATACTTCGTGAAATGGTCCCACTGAGTTAAAACATTTAAGGTTGATATCATCATCATGACCACCTTAATCCCAACTATAATTGGTCAGTAACAAGAGAGTTTTAGTGTCAGCTTATTGTTTGAAAGTAATTACCACTGTGGAAAAACCATGAGATGGAGATGCATCATGCATGGAGATGGTACGCATAACGCATTGAATAATCGATATTTTGAAAATTAGTGTATGCATTGACGATTTGAAATCATAAAGCATGACAAAATTGAAGGTCATCATATAGACAATAAAGTTGTATCTAGTGAGTGTTGTCAAAATAAACAAATTTAAAGATATTTTCAATGCAATAAAAAATACTCTGTATATCTTTCTCAAGCTTCAAATTGCTTTTGACCTTTTGCTATTAGATACTCCCTCCGTCCCATTTTACCTGTCTTACCTCCCTTTTTGGGTTGTCTCAAAATAAGTGTCACTTTCTTTTTTTGGAAAGAAATATATGGTCCACAACATTTCACTTTATTATACTCAAATTTCAACCACAACTTTTACTTTTGCAACCACTTTATTAATAATTGCACCAAACCAAAACAAGACACATAAAATGGGACGGAGGTACTACTTTATCTAAAGGTGACTGTTCAGTTCAAACTGTGAGTTTTTAGTCGTCGTGTCTGGCTAGTTCTTACTTTGGTATCATGACCCATCAAAACAACTTATTTTCCTGCAATCTAACATAGCCTTTGTAAGATTCGTTTTACCCTAATATATTTCTTTGGTTGCTTTATGCAGAGGGTTGGTTGGTTACAGAAGTGTTTTCAGTAGTGATACTCGTGGCACAGGATTCATGCACCGCGCTTTTCTGAGTACGTTTTTGTTTCATTTCAGTGTTTTTGTATTGGATATTTCTGTTCTCCAGCTAATCATTAATAAATATCGTGCGAGTTCCTTATGATGTCCTGCTTCCCCCTTTATATTCAGATTATGAGAAGCACCGTGGTCCTCTCGGAAATGTCAGAAAAGGTGTTTTGGTATGTTTCTATTTTAGCTTGTACAGGATCCATCATCCATGTGCAAATTGCTAAAATCTCTTTGCTTGTAATTGAATTTCACTACAATGCAATGGGAAATACTACCTCATAAGAAAATAGAATACCCTATTATGTTCCATCACATTGTATTCCAACCAACAGTGAAAAATTATTCATTTGTCTAATTTTGGTTGAACTTGTTTTAACAGGTATCTATGGGCTATGGAACTATCACTGCTCATGCATTAATGAGTCTAGAAGCTCGTGGAGTTCTCTTTGTCAGTCCTGGGGTAGAGGTAGATTGGGGGTTTTCTTTCTTTTCCTCAATTCTTTCTGGCTCATTGTTATCATCTACCTTTCTATAATATTGCTTGCTTTAAATGCGATGCACATTATGGGTACCAAACTACCAATGTAAATGCTGTGCCTTTTTTTTCCGGTGGTGAACTGATGGTTGCAGACATATGATGGCATGATTGTTGGAGAACATTCTCGAGACACTGATCTTGATGTAAGGACCCAGCCTTCTTTGTCCTTTATTGTCTGTTTGTGGTATATGACTCCTGGATGTCTCTCTCATTCCAGATTAACCCAGTAAGGACAAAGGAACTCACCAATATACGGGCGGCCAGCAAGGATGAGAATGTGAAGCTATCTCCTCCTCGACTTGTATGCACATTTGTTGCTCTTTCATAATTCCATTATTGTCAATGTTTTTCCATAGATAGCCTTTGTAGTGCCTCAGGATCATAAAAAAACAATATCTCTATGATATGCGCAAAATAATACCGTTCTAGGCAGACGATGCCTTACACTTTAGTCATGCACTTTGAAGTGTTAAGCAGAGATCTTATATTGACTTGTTGACTCCTCCGCACAGATGACTCTTGAGGAAGCAATAGGATATGTTGCATCAGATGAGCTTATTGAGGTATACTCTCATGGATGCAATTTTTTTGTTTGCACTTCGTCTGCTTTTCTTCTCTCTCTCTCTCTCTCTTGTGGTCTGATAATTAGCCGTTGTGTGAAAATTTAACCCAATATCAAGTGATCTAAATGTTGTAAAATGCACTGGACTTCAGGCAGAAAACAGATTGGAATGCCTAGCGTCTAGGGTGGGGATTGGTTGGGGTTAGTGATTAGCTTCATAGTTGGGGTTACTTGGGATGTAAGTGAATTAGGTGGAGCGTGAGGGGAAAATCAACATATGCTGTTAAGGACTAGTTTGAGACCATTATTTGGAGCTAGCATTTTTTTTTGCAACAATGATGTATTGCCACTTCCGCTAATTGTCTGTCCGGTCAGGTTTTTAATGTATATTGGCAATACATGCTTCTTGTTACTCTTTTTGTCTCATGAGTAGATTTTGGTCCATCTGAAGTTATGTTCTCTTTCTCATTTAAACCCCACTAGCATTTTACGCTCCCAGTCTCTCACTTTGTTGTTTTATCAATTCTTTCACTTCTGTGTTGAACCCATATTACTTTTCATCTCTTCTTATAATTTAAAATTGTTAAACAATAATTGTCTCCTTTATTATCTTAGCAAACATGTCGAACTGATATGTATCTTGCATTAGATGACTTGAGTTATCCTTTGTTGACTATTGATCAATGATCACTGTTACTCTATTAGTGTTGGCTGTCAGTCCAGTATATAGCTCTCTTGTCCACAAGGCAGAATCTTGTATGCTCTCTTTCATTATGCGCTTATTGTTTCCTACAGGTTACACCCAAAGCGATTAGGCTAAGAAAGAGATATTTGGATGTCAACAAGCGTAAAGCTACGAGGCACAAACCAAAGGAGTGAAAAGTTTGAGGAATTGCAGTTTTGTAAGCAATCAATAGCTCTGCTAGAGGCTATTAGTGGAATATAGTTGTATTACATTGCACTGTTAATGTTTAGATTTATCCACTCCATTTTAGGTTCTTTATATTTATAAATACATTTTTTACATGCTTAAAATTTGTATATAACTACTACCAGTTTCACCATTGAGGGATAGAAGAAACCTTTACTGTACTAAATGGTAGAATCAATAAGAGAAACTCTTCATTAACCATTACTGTTGAGTGGTTTACCCTACTGCTCATGAAACCTCGGTGCAATTCTCGAATTGATAGAACTTGAAACACTATGGGCATAGTTTGGTTTTGGTTATAAAACAGACAATTCTGCTTTCAGACATGAAGAACCTTGTCCGGAACATTTGTATCTAGCTCTGGTTCGGATTCTTAGTAGTGATGGATTCGGGCCGGGCCTAGGCCCGGTCGGGCCGCCGGTTCAAGAACAGTGGGCCCGGGACCGGCCCGAGGGTTGGACGGGTCCGGTTCGGGCCGGGCCACCCGCCCGGGTCACGGGTCGGGTCCGGTTCGGGCCGGGCCGGTTATTTTTTTTTTTTATAATTTATATTTTATATTTTATAGTTTATAGTTTGATACGAGTATTAAAAACAAACTTCAATTGCATTTATTTGAAATGAAATAGGAACTACATTTGAAAATTAAAACAAACTTTAAGAGATAAACATTTTGAAAATTGTAATCAATCGGAACATCCCGCACCTCCCGATCCTTTGGCTTTGTCACATGACTTCATATGCTTGATTGCCATCCCGAATCCGCCTGAAGTCCCCATAATACATTTTTTTTCGCACCATTTACAAATTGCGTACCACATCCCGGTCTTCGGGTCCTTCTGCTTATCAAAATTATACCGTATAATGGCATTTTAATTTTCCATCTTAACTTCCTGGAGAGTTGGAGAAGAGAATTAGAGAGTAGATATATAATATATTGGAGAATAAGAGAATTAGAGAGTAGAGAGTTAAGAATAGGATTTAGGAAGAATTGGAGAAGAGATATGAAAAAATGTTTAAGAGTAGGAGAATTTATAGGTTTTTTTACCCCCACCCCCACCCCTTACCAGCCAACCCCCCCGGACCCCCCCTTTACCCCACCCAACGGCTATATAGCCGTTTGGGTTGTCCCCACCCCCACCCCCAAGGCCTCAACGGCTAGTAGCCAAAAATAAAAAAAAAAAAATTTCTTTTTTAAAAATAGACCCGGGCTCGGGCCCGACCCGGCCGGGCCGGGTCACAAAATGATGAACCGAGCCCGCCCCACCCCTTCCCCCCGGTTCGGGCCCAGACCCGGTCCCGGACCGCCCGACCGGGCTGGTCCCGGGCCCTCACAGTACCGGGCCGGGCCGGGTCACGGGCCGGGTGGCCCGAACCGAATCCATCCCTAATTCTTAGGAGTTAGGACCGGCAATTCTGAACTTCCAATTCTGATTTCTGTTCATACTGTATTCACGCTTCATAAGAGTGCAGGAGATGGTGGAGTTGGATTAGATCAACGGATGAAAACTGAACCGGAAATCCGGTATCAAATTCAGAAACTTCTGGTTATGGTTCCTAAACTTCCTATCATTTGCCAGATAGGAACTGGCTTAATACAAAATTGAAACTGGCCCTTGCCCCTTGTTCACCCTCATAAAAATTACTGCTGCTAAATTTAATTTGACTAATAATGTGTAACAAAATGGCCCTTTGCCAAATTACCTGGTCCGACCCTGTCCGGAACTGGGTTTGGTACTGTGGGATTGTATGGAGTCTATAAAGTTGGGTTATGATTGGTCTATAGCTACCGGAGCGTTATATAGCCATTAGGGGGTGAGGAGTAGGGGTGTGGGTGAGGTTAAAAAACTACAAGTACCTTCATATTTAATCAATTTCCTACACTTTTCAAGTAAAATGCTAAAGGATTTTTACCTCACTCCTAATGTGTGTCCATAAATCGGTCAACTCATTTAAGTGGGACACCACTTAAATGAGTTGCCCCATTTATGACCACACAATTAGGAGTGGGGTAAAAATGGGGTACAACTTTGGGGTACCTAGCTCTTTATATTTAATACTCTTTTTTTTACATTCATATCCAATTGTGAATATATAACAGCATGTCTATAGGCCTGCAAAGTCACCTTTACGATCATCACAAAATTAGATTGCCTCCCAAAAATTAGCATAATAAGTTGTAGAAGACCAACAACTATTCGGATACCCAACCCAGTCAACATTATGCAAAAATAAGAGATACCATTGATATATTACGTCGTTTCCATTTATATATGTCAAACTTGTGCACACTTTTCTTCCTTCTCTCACTACTTTGTTCTTAATTGATAGGAAACTTCTCACTGACGGTATTGAATAGCGTAGTATGGTACTATGGTTGGTTCTTTATAATACTAGACTATTACTAAACTTGATATCGCATATACTATTCATTTGGTATCCCAGTTTATACATGTCCCTTGTACTATATTATACTCCGTATTATCTAGGATATTTTTGTATTAGCCAATGCCTTAATCCATACATGTGATCATTTCAGAGAGTACATTAATTTGATAAGGAGATTGTGGGTCATACTTCACCCTTTCACATTGTCTTCTGCCTATGAAGAAGGCTTTAATGTACATAAGTTTTGCACATTAACCCTTTATGATTAATAAAATGTAATAAACTCCCTTGTGTAATAACTAATCACCCTCAAAACCCTCAAGAGTAAATTCAATCATTAAATAGAAAACTATTAATACTTTTGTATCATTTAGATACCTTGACACAATTAGTCATTTACTTGCATATTCATTCATAATATTAAAACAATATTTTCTAAATTGTTAAATTTGTTCTTAGAAGAACTTTGCACATGATTAATAATAACACAAAGTTTTACACATTTTTTAAATCACAATAAGCTGCGCAAAATTTATACATCATGAGACAGAAGTCATTCAGGGCATGAAGTGATTAAATCCACGTAGCATGTCCTGATTCCAATCCCAAGTCCGTTGTTTCGACTTATTCAACTTTACCATTCATACAGTTAAACATAACTTCTCAAATAATATATCATACAATTAAAGTCCAAAAAAGTTTTTGCGCATCAATAAAACTTAGTGCAGGATAGATATTACTTTCGCAAGAAATAATTACATATTTATAACTAAAATAAAATAACTAAAATAAAGATTGTTTATAAAAATGTGACTAGTGACTAAAGTAGTAATTGAATCATAGTAACTTATATTCAAATTTTAAACTTAAATTAGCATGACACTACATTGTAGTAACTATTAGTCACATTTGTGTAAATAAGTTTTATTTTAGTACTCCCTCTGTCCCATTTTGTAAGATATTTTACGGTTTACGATGTTTGACCGACGATAAAGCAAGTTGATCCCTGTAAACACTCAAATTACTTTTAGAAAATAAAATTTACATATCCAGAAACTATATAAAAACCACTACAAAACCTGCAAAAAATAATTCAAATTTCATAAACTTTTGATATAAAAAGTAAAAGATTAATAGCAATTTAAGTTGACCAAGTAAATAGTAAATGTATCTTACAATTTGGGACTGAGGGAGTAATATTTTTGAAAAAATTCCGAACTAATGTAAATTAAAAATGACAAAGTTTGCTGGTAGTGCAATCTTTTATGGTTACATTCACAAGTTTATCAAATGCGTCCATTTGATTGTTCACAACCGTTCCATTCTTGAATTTTCAGTAGCAAAAAATAAAAAGGTGAAAATTCAATCTAATGATCTACATAGTATATGAAAGCTCTGTTCCAAATTTGATATACATTTCCTAAAACTAGAGTTATAAATGCATGTGATGCCAAAACAATCCTATACATTGACGCTATCAATGAGAATGCCGTCTTCTAGATCTGGAGCGACGACAGAGCAGTGGGATGCCCACAACAATCAAAATAATGAGTACCTGCAGGACTACCAATATCTTCAAACCTGGAAAAATGATCATTCAATGACTTTCTGTTACAAATTACGGAGTACAAAAGGGAAAAGTCTGAAAGTAAAAATCAGTGCGTTGCTGATTAACACAATTTTACCTTTAACTTTCTGTACAGGATCCTCCGTCCCTACTTTTCTCACTAAATCATCTCGTGAAACATGACTTCTTGTCTCATAAGCAAAATCCCCACCCATGACACAAGTATTAGGGCAACCAATGGCACCATCATTTTCATCACTTCCATCACAGCAATCTAGACAATTGGTAGAACCAACATACACATTCGTGAATTAAATCACTTGTGAAGCAGAACTAAATCACAAAAAATGCAACTGAAAAACTAGACAACACTCAAATGCGACACACAAATGGTTTTGCTTCTTCTATAAATACACATGCATGTATTAGCTGATGGTAATTAATTCTTGAGAAATACATTGCTAAGAAGGAAACACATTCGTCACTTGATTATCTGTGCAGACCATCCCAAAACATTTTATTATATAAAAAAAGTAATGCCGCAATTTTTTTCTAACTAAGGCTATGTTTCGATCTCGGAAAATGCTAGGGAACTGGGAACAGGGCAAAATGCTAAAGAAAGATATTTTCTTATGTTTAGTTTTTCCTAAAAAAATCAAAGCGAAATGAAATATATGATCAGAGTCGATCACGCTTTACCTATGTCTAGATTTCTTACTATTTGCTCCGTATATGATAGAAAATAAATTACAAATACAATTTAAGAAAATAATAAACACGAGTTTTTTCACTTTGAACCAATGCTTATTTTCCTTGACATTTTCTTTCATTCCATTTTTTCTTTGATTTTCTCCTTATTTTCTCTCTCTAGCATTTTCCAAGTAATCAAAATGCGTCCAACACTAACATGAGAGAATTCCGTGCAAGTTTGCAACTTAACTGAAAAGGTCAAACACCTATAATTGGGAAGGAGCAAAGGACAACATTATTGTACAATATATAACAAGAATCTATAGAACGAAACAAGCATCATTTGCAAGGGTGAAGATAACACAAGTCACTATTTGGATAACATACCACAAATGCGATCGTTTACTTGAGATGAAAACAAAAATTTTGGCGTGTTGCCCATATTCCTGCAATAGAACTTGCCATGGGGACAGGCCGCAGTTCCTACATATTCGTTTTAAGAGGTTATTAGCTATAAATGAATCATTATCATTGTGTGCCTAAAGCTGCATAAAAAAGTATAGTTGTAGGCTTGTAGTC